GCGCAGCTGGAGCAGGACGGGCACCGGGCGCGGGAGCAGCTGGCGCGGGCGCAGGCGGAGCGCGCGACGCTGGAGGTCAAGCTCAAGCACGCGCGCAACCAGGTGGAGGTGGAGATGCGGCGCCGGCAGCGCGCCGAGGCCGAGCTGGAGAAGCAGGTGTGGGGCGCAGGCCGGCGGCGGCTGGGGTCCCGGGTCCCTCTGGGCGCTGCCCCCTGACCCGCCCCCCGCCCCGCAGGACCGGCAGCTCCGGCTGATCTGCAGCTACCTGATGCAGGAGCCCTTGGGTCCCTGCGGCACCGCCTGCAGCCTGGCCCTGGGGAGACGGTGAGCGCTGGGGGGCTGGGGCTGGCCTGAGCCTGCCTGCTGTGGCCGGCACCCGGCAGAGACTCCAGAGCCTGGCGGTGCCCGTTGCTCCGGTCCCCGGCCTGTGCCCACACGGCCGGCCTGGCAGAGCTGGCACAGCCTGCGCCCGAGTCCGCGGCTTGTGGCACACGTGGCTGTGCGCAGGGGGCTCGGCTGGCACTGACCCTGGCCCTGCTACAGGCTGTCCGTGGTGGACGAGTCGGGTGCCTCGCTCCTGTCCCATTCCGGCATCAGCTACGACCCCACGGACGATGACCTGGTAGGAGCTCGTCGGCGAGGGGGTTGAGGGTCATGCCCCATCCCAGCTGGGTCCAGAGATAGACCCGGGGGGGTAGCAAGAGCCCAGTGGCCCCTGAGCTGGTCTCTGCCACCCTGAGACTGGCTCACCAGCAGCCCCGAGTGTGGCAATAAGGGCACGGTTTGCTCAGGCCCTGCAGCATAGGGGCAGGACACGTGGCCCCCGGGCTACGGGGAGCCCAGTGCCTGGACGCCTGGGGTCTGCTGCACGGAGCCTGCGGGTCTGTCCTGGGCCAGGCCCCTGCAGCAAGCTGCTCCCGGGGGCCGGGGTCGTGGGGCTGGGGGTGCAGCTGCAAGGGGTGTGGGGGCCACAGCAAGGACCTGCAGGGCTCAGGATGGTGGCTCTGGGCCCTGGCTTGTCCCCGGGGCTCAGCTCCCAGCCCTGATGC